GGATTGCCCAACCTTCCTTCCGAGGAGTGGCTGGTGGGTTTGAACCGCCAGCCGTCTGTTTAGCAGGCAAGTATCTTAGCCACTATGCTACCAGAACTCCCAGTACTTAGGGCCTTTGAAGTGAATTAGGCATGGTTACTGCTGGAAAGGGGAGAAGGCTCAGTGAAAAGATTGATACAATGTGACAAGTTTGTATAGTAGAGAGGGGAGCAACAGAAATAAAGCAAATACTATGTATCAGGTCCTGTTCTGAGGTTCCAATATAGTGTATACTCAAAATAAATGATGATACAGGCATGATTATATACCTTTATAGAGGAAGATGGAAGGAATATACAGATTCACTGTACCAAAAAGAATTGGTTGATGTTCATCAATTTCCTGAGGTGGTATGTGATCAAGAACCAGTGACAGTGAAGGAAGAAGTCAAAGCGGCACTGAAGGAAATGGCAAAAAAGCCTCCAGGAGTTGATGGTACAACAAACAGATGCGCTGGAGGCACTCACTCATCTATAATAAAATATTTAGAGGACAGCTACCTGGCCAACTGACTGGAAGAGATTCATATTTGTACCCATATTCCAAAGAAAGGTGATCCCACAGAATGTGAAAATTATCTAACCATATTATCAATATTACACACAAGTAAAATCTTGCTGAAAATTCAAAAATGGTTGCAGCAGTATATTGTCAGAGAACTTCCAGAAATGCAAGCTGGATTCAGAAGAAGACGTGGAACAAGCAAACTGAGACTGAGAGTTTTAATAAATGGCACAAGCTCAAAAGTGGGAAGTGGAAAAGTAGTTGTCTTTAACCAGTGTTGTCTCCCCTACACCATGGGAGCTAAAAATTTAAGATTTGGTAAGACTGTGAGGCGCATTAAAACTATGCCAAGAATGGAAATCTATTGAATGTATATATGTATACATAAGAGTTTTTCAAAAGAAAGCTGTCATGATGAATTTCTATTTAAAAAGTTACTGATGATAGTAAGCAACAAACAGAGATTTTGGAGGCAAGTGTAGATAAAAGACACTATGATAGTTTTTTATGGAGTATATTATATTCTAAATCAAGCCAGCAACTATATCTTAGAGTTACATCTAAGGGAGTCAACTGAAAGGGGGCTGAAAGCAAGAATGGAAGGACTAAAGAAAGTTGAGGTTTCTGCCACATATGAAATTTGGTAGATGGAGATGTCATAAATAAAGAAGACCTTTATGTGGATAAGTTCTTCTCCACATCAAATTATTATGAAAGCCAAAGCAACACAGCAGTGTAGACACAGTAAGTCAATGTAGACATAGCAAGCTACCTTAACAACTGTAAAGCATCAGTTATCACCTTTATGGTTTGTGCCTGATTCATGTCAGTGTTTTATATTGTACAAGAAGTTCTTATAAAAAGTCTATTTTTAGTTTAGTCTTTTCTATTCATCTGTCTACTTATATATATGTTACTCACTACATCCTAATAATACCTAGTCAGGAAAGTGATGACTCTTCTTTAAAAACACTTCCTGGCTATATTCAACACATTGATTATTGCATTTATTTGGGAAAAACTTCAGAATTATTATTTAAAATATCTATTAAACTACTTTATGTATCCTAAGATTTGAAACATTTGGTGGGATGGGTAACTGTGTTACAACACTAGTAGAATGATGCAGGGAAACTTGGGGAAAGCCATTAAGAAATATGCAAACTCTAGTCTTCTTAGGCACTATTAGGTTTAAATTATTCAATTCATTATATCATTTTGTTCTAGTTATCATCTTACGAAACATTTATTACATTTGTTGTGTGGAAATGTTGAAATATAAGAGGTCAATAGAGACATAACAATTAAAGTTTATACAGTTGACTATTGGTATCATTTGCAAGTCTCATTTGTCATATTTAAAAAATCCTGACACTTTCTAATTGTTTCATTAGACTGAATGTGTATATCAGACATATAGGCTTCTTCTTATTGGACTTTTTTTGTGTGTGATTTGGGAGAAAATTTACATAGCAAATTCCCTTTCCATGCAACAGTTCACATACCCTTTGTCTCAGGACATTGACTACAATTTAACCCCAGTACAACAGCTCCCCTCCCAATTCCTCCTATAGTTCTTACTGAACATTTACCTCCTAGTGGTGAACCCTCCCTCTCTGCTCTTATCTCTGTCCACATGCTGATCTTTAGGATCATCATATCCCCACCCATGGTTATTATTATTATTTGGACCACAAATCATTTATTGCATTCTAGATTCTTCTTATTGAACTGACATCCCCACTTGCATTTCCCTTAGGAATCTCAGACCCAATGAGTCCAAACTGAACTTGTGATCTGCCCTTTATGAACCTAGTCTTATTCCAGTGAATCCCATATCAAATAATAGCACCACTATTATTATTATTATTTTTAATCTCTCCACAGGAATCACTGCTCACCATTTTCTGTTAAAACTTATTACAAACCATCATTTATTCTCACAGAAAACTAGCTTATCTTCTTAAACTCACTCTTGGGCCACTTTTAATCCATTATTGAAAGAGCAGCCAGAGAGATTTCCTTAAAAGACAAGTGTGATTATGTCACTTTCCTCCTTAAAAGCCTTCAATGATCTTTCAAGATTCATGATATGGCTTATGAGGCCACTGCATGCACCTCACTGTCCCTTGCCTGCTGTGCTTCAGCCATACGCCTGTCAGTTCCTGGAATGAGCCATGCTTCTTCCTGCATTATAAGCACTATACAAACATTACTCATTATTAATAAAAACCACAAGCAAATACCGATTTTACATTCATGAATTATGTAACAATTTTGTTACAGAATGAAAAATTAACAGCTAAACCAATGTCCATATTACTAATATATTTATGTACTAAAGTACACTTCCTTCACATAATAAATATTTAGAAAGATAACATAACAGGTTAATTTTAAGGGAGAAAAGACATCACTCTATTGAATATTCTAATATTTGAACATGGACCCTTTCCATTTTTTCAAGTTTTTTAAAAAAAATGTCCTTTAATAAAATTTTACAGTTTGTCCCAAAAAGGTCTAAAATACTTCTTGGTAAACTTCTAAGGTACTTTATATATTTTGTTGCTAATTTAATGAGTCTGATATTTTTTGTGATGTTTTCTAATTATTATTTATGGCAGATAAAAAAGTTACTGGTTTTTAACAATATGGCCTTCTATTTTGCCATCTTGTTAAACTCTATAGTTGCAGTACTCTGTAAGTTGATTATTACTGTGTTTTCCAGCTATATCATATCTGAAAATTATACTTTCCTCTATCTTACTAATAATAATTTTTATTGTGGTAGGTAAGAACTCTAAAAAAATACTAAATAATCTTGATTCTCTCATTAAAGGGACAATGATCAGTTCTGAGTTTCTTCCAAAAGATGTTTTATTCATCATATTACAGACGTAGTTGGATTAATTCTTTCCATCTTATTTTCTATTTACTCTGCATTCTAACAAATTTTTGAAACTGGTGATTTTTAGATGAATTCTTTTTTTCTACAACTAGTTCAAAAGATATTCTACTCTACTCATCTGAAACATTTTTAACATCCAATTCCTCAAACATATGTTTTTCTGACAGCATTGAGAGCAGTGTTTCCTAAGCTGGCATAAGAAGTCAGTTTAGTAGGTCATGACTATGGTTTCATTTAAAAAGAAAGGAAATTTTGTGAAAAAAAAAAAAAAAAAAAAAACACATGTTATAGTGTCTCATACAAATCCTAAGCAAGAATATATTTCATATTAACTTTTGTTATGTTTTAGTATTTGCTGTGTTACATGTATTAACAAAGGTAAGTATTGTTTTCTGATAATTGTTTTAGTTATTTTTTGTGTGTGTATATGTATCTATACTAGTTTGAATTTCTAATTTTTTTTCCTAACTTTTGGCAAATGTTCAAAGTGTGAAAAACACTGATATTAGAATTAATTAGTGCCTAAGTACTTCCCGCCCAAAACAAGGAAATAAAAAAGAAGAAGAAGAAGAAGAAGAAGAAAGGGAAAAAAAAAAAAAAATTAGCAAACTTAATTTCTAATGGTTCCCACCCCCTCCCATTACCTACCCACCCTACCCACCCTTGAGTTGATAGGAAAATGGAATTACACTTACAGGTTGTTATTTTAATTTAAAAATGTAAGTAACTCAACTTATTTAAACTTAACAGTAAGTTTGACTAATTACTTTGCTCACCATGGCCTCGTGTCCCGGACAGATTCGATCCGGTTTCATACATCTTCTTTCTGGATTACGTCCTCTAGTAATTCTTTCATAGTAGGTCTGTGGGTAGTAAACTTTCTGAGTCTTTGAAATGTTGGAAAATGGCTTTATTTACTCTTCCTACGTTGGCTTGGGACAAAATTCTAGATTTTTTTAACAGTGATTCTTTCTAGGGTAAGGGAGTGGGAGAAGGGTACAAGGGATATTTGGGGCATTTGGGTTGGTATTTAAGGAATTTATTTAATTTATTAGAATTTTTAACTATTTAGTTTTTTTCTTATACTGTTTCATTACTACTTTTAAATATTTGAATTTTTAATGTTTCAAATTCTTTGAAAGGAATATACTTATATATTCATTGTGTAATTTGAAAATGAAATGGAAACTTACATGTAGGGGAGAGCTTGGATCAATTCTAAATCTTCTGGGGCTTGGACTTCTACCGAACTTGCAGCCATTGAAATACATACTCCATGAACAGCCAAAAGAGAATGAAGCGCCACAAGTCTCTGGATCAATCCCTTGACAGGTACAGGTCCGACTGTAAGATAATAATTGCAAGGCAGTTAATTGATAAAGCAGGACAGTACCTCAGATAGAACATTTCGGGTTCATATAACATTAGAAATATAGAGGGCTAATAAAGTGATTGTAACACTTCTTGTTTTATTCCTTAATCTGTAGAAGTTTTACACAGATAATACAAAGCTAACTGAAATTCAAAATGAACTAAAATGTTTGTTCAAGACTGTAAATACAAATATAATGTTAATAAACTGTTCAGGTCTGAAATGCCCACAACCTCTTTTTGATTTGGAGGTGAAAAAATCAAGGTCCTGGATGTTACATCCTCAAACTGTTCACTATCAAAAAGGAAAGTTAAGAGTATTTAATTACTGCTTTGAACTTTGAGTTCACCTGTAAATCAGATTGATATTATATGTGAAATTACTATCAGTTTTACAACAAGTCTAGGAGTTTCACAAGAGAAAAAATGGAGCAGAAAGCCTGGTTTGATCAGTAACTTGATAGCTGTATAATTTGGGAGCATTTCTGAAGCAATAAAAAGAAAATCTATAGTAAGAAAGACAATGTTCAAAATACAAATACAGAGATAGGAAACCAGGGAAGCAGTATATATCTTTACTTTTATTCCAAATTTAGAAAATCCTCAAAACTTCTACTAGTATATATGTATACTTGTGTAATGTCAAAAAATTACAAGCAACCAACAATAACAAAAATGCTCACATTTTTAAAAAGTAACTTAAAAGAATATAGAAATTTAGAGTACAAAACATGATCATTTTTAAATTATGTAGGTCAAGAAAAATGCCTGAAATATAATACCAATTACAAGCAAAGACTATAAAAAGGATCATTCAAGATAACATGAAGGGCACTCGGATGTTCATTGAAGTGTTATTCACAACAGTAAAAAAATGGAAGTAACTTAATGCCCATCAATGGATGAATGGATAAACAAAATGGAGCACATAAATACAATAGAATACTATGGAAACATAAAGAACAATGAGTCTGTGAGATATATTTTAACATGCTGTTATGTTGTAGAGGACATAATGCTAAGTGAAATAACTTAGTCATATAGGTCAATTGACATAATGTATGATCCCACTCTTATAAGAAAATAAGAATACCCACCCCCCCACCCACCCACACACACACATAGTTGTCACATGGTATCCATGGGGGATTTGTTCCATGACCCCAACGGACACAAAATACCCACAGACGCTCAAGTCCGTTGTATTTACATATAACCTATGCACATCTTCTTATATACTTTAAATCATCTCTAGATTACTTATAATACCTAGTCTAATGTATATGCTATACAAATAGCTCTTTACAGTCCTCAGACTTAGAGGAAAGAGCTCTAGTGGTGCAGTGGTAAAAAGTTGGTTTGAACCCATCAGCTGCTCTGTGGGAGAATGAGGCAGTCTGCTTCTGTATCGATTTACAGCTTTGGAAACCTAATGAGGCAGTTCTATTCTGTCCTGTAGGGTTGCTGTAAGTCTGAATCAACATGATGGCAGTGGTTTAGGTTTTCAGTTTTAGCCTTTGAGGGACTGCCTTGACCAATATGTCCTCCCCCTCCCCCAACATTATCGATCCATGGTTGGATGAATCCACAGATGCAGAAATCACAGATACATAGGACTAATAGTGTAGAGAGACCGATGTTCATTGATGGTTAGTTACCAGGGATGAGTTGAGGGATAGATCTGGATTGTAGATACTTGTTATTTTTGGTTTTGGGAAAAGTAGCACCAAATGTGGGTATAATGGGCATAGTTTGACCAAAGTAAATGATGCTACTAAGAATCACTCATGAGAAAAGGATGTTTGTGCTAAAGAATATGACATATGTAATTTAGCAAAAACAACAAACAATACCCCCAAATTAGTATATGGCCATATATGCATGTGTGTAGGCATATATGCATATGGGCAGGTATAGGTGTGTACATATGTGTGAAAAGGCAGAAGTATATATATACATATATGTGTGTGTGTGTGTACATACACATATGGGTATGCACACATATACACTCATAGAAGACAGTTATTGACAGTTACTGATACTTCTCAGCCATAAGCAATCACTATGCAGGATTGATTGTCTGGGACTGAAAGTTTAAAATCTTAATCTCATGGGAAAACTCAATGAATTGGCATGATATAGTTCACAAAGCTCATGTTCTTCATCCCAGTGAGGTCAATGCCTCTGGGGTCTTAAAAGTTTGCCTGCAGCCATCTAAGATATAGCTATTGGTCTCTAGTTGTTAGGAACTAAAGGGAAAAGGAAGCCAAAGCGTCGCAGAAGAACCTGGTCTACAGGGCTAAAAGCCTACACAAGCCACAGCCTAATCTACCCTGAGACAAGGAGAACTAGATGATGCCTGGTTACCTCTACTAACCGTTTTAGAAAAGGCCACAATAGATGGACCCTGATATAGCAGGAGGAAAACATGGGATAGAACTTAAACTCTCCTTTGAGTGAAATAACATATTGGCACATAAATTAAAGAATATTACCTGTGATTGTGGTGCTACATTAAATAACCATGTAGATGAGACTAAACAGTCAACAATTATTCTAAAGCAAAGATGGGAAGGCAGGAGAGCAGGAACTAGAATACTGGACATGGAATAATCAGAACACATTTAAGAAGAATGTTCCCACATTATGAAAAATGTAACTAGTATCAATGAGCAATTTGTGTAGGAATTGTCAAACTGGAATCTAATCTGGTGTGTAAACTTACACTGAAAACATAATAACTTATTTTTTAAAAATACAAAGAAGAAAAAAAAAGGAGGGGTAGTTAAAACAGTCTCACTTTCTGTAAAACCTTTTACAAAGATGTGAAATGTATTTTAAAGGGTAAGATATATAATAAGTTGACAGAGAAGCAAAATAGGATGCAAATGTGATCAAACAGTTAAATTGAATTTAAACTTGAGGAAGAAAATTAAAGTTGCTGAACAAATAGAATCCAAATCTAACTCACTGCCATCAAGTCGGATCCAACTCATAGCAACCCCTCCTTGGGTTTCTGAGACAGTATCTCTATGGAAGTAAATTGCCTGGTCTTCCTTCCAAAGAGTGGCTGGTGGGTTTGAACCACCAACCTTCAGGTTAGCAATCAAATGCGTTATGCACTACGCTAATTTATTTAAGTTATGGAAATAATACATAAAGAAAAGAATCAAGAATTGGTGGAGAAAAAAATACAGTTTAATTCATTATTGACAGTTATTTAAAAACTAAAAAAAGAAATGAAAAAAATTGTGCGACTTTAAACCGTTTTTGTAGATTATTTTAAACAGTTAACACCACCAATAATGGGACAAACTGACTTTCGATAGTGCCTAATATGATGCACTAATGACAGTGAAGTTGTTTCTGCCAATAATGCATACACTTAATTGAATCAGAAGGAAACAATCAGCAGACAAAAACTGAGAAATAGGCGACAGAAGTATCCTGTCCCTCTCAATAATGTGAGTGCCATGAAACACAAAGAAGCAACATGATAAAAGAATTCAGAGAGCAAAGAGACAAAATCACTAAGTACAATGTGTGAACAGACATTGGATCCTGGATGTGCGAAAACTGTATGACTGGGAAATGGATGACATTTGAAAATGAAATATAGATTATATCATTGTATCAAAGTGAAATTTCTTTATTTTCATTATTATACTGGGATTATGTAAAAGAATGTCCAGATTCTTAAGGTCTATCCTATGAAGTTTTATTTAGGAGAAAAAGGCATGAAGTTTGTAACGAGTTCACAAATGTCCAGAAATAAAAAAAAAAAACAACAGTAATGTGTGTCTGTGTGCATAAGTATTTAAAACCAACTGTAACAAAATGTTAACAATTGATGAATCTAGATAAAAGGTATTTATAACTTCCTTGAAATATTCTTGCATCTTTCATGTGAATCTTAAGCCTTATTTAAAGGATATGCTAAATACAATGAAACTTATTTTATTGGCTTTTTGGGAAAACTAAACACAAATATTTATGTATGTCATGTAGATCTGTGCCATGACACAAGAGGTATTATTATTTAAAATAATTAAAATAATGTTTATATACTTGTTCGTATTGGATAAAGGAAAAAAATATAATAAAATGATATTTTATATGTAAGGGAAAGTCCTTGAAAGTATACTAATTAATATTGGGGGATTAGAAAAATAGAGTGTATGTATGTTTTTTTGGTTATATTACTATAATGTCATTTCTTAAAAAAAGAGGGACTTATATGGGGAAAATCATAAAACACACTTTAAGGACACAAATGTAAACTTGAACAAATGGAAAGATAAACCATGTTATTGAATAAGACGAATTAACATTATAAAGATGTCAGTTCTCTATAATTTATTAATTTACTGCAGCCTCACTAAAAATACTAGATTTTTCTTAAAACTTGACAATATGTTCATAAAATTATTTTGGAAGACAAATAAAAGTGAGTAACAAAACCTTGTAAAAGAGCAAGAAAGGAAAACTATCCTCATCAGAAATCAAAATATATTATAAACCTGCTGTAACTTTTGAAAAATACAGTACTACTCCCTCAAAAAAAAAAAAAAAAAAAAAAAAAAAAAACCCAAAGATACTTAACTGAAATCCTAGAGAGCAATTCATTTACATACTTGAATTTAATGTATAGTATAAGCAGCATTTCAAATCAAGGGGAAAAGAGGTAATCTGCAGTAATTCTTCAGTGTTAAGATAAATAGAAACAAGAAAAATGGAGGTCCCCTTTCTACTATTTAAGGAGCTCTGGTAGCACAATGCTTAAGGCATCTGACTCCTAACCAGAATGTTGGTGGTTCAAACCCAACAGTCACTCCGCTGATGGAAATAAGACTGGGCAATTTACTTCTGCCAAGATTTACCACCTCGGAAACCCAAAGGAGGCAGCTGTGAGTTGGAATCAACTCGATGGCAATAAGTTTTGGTTTGGTTTGTTTGTTTCCACTATTTACCAGCATAAATGTGGAATAAACCAGAAATTTACAGTTAAAATATTAAAACTCAATAAGTACTAAAAGAAAACACAGGCAACTGGTAACGGGTTTCTATGTAGGGTGATAAAATTTTGGAAACAGATTGTGGGGGTAATGTAAAGAACAGACACTTAAGACTGATACACAAACAACAAATTTTTTTCTGTAATATATATTTAACTACATTTTTTAAAAAAGAAAAATGGACAAGTTATAACTTGATAGAGAAAAATTCTAACTGCATTTGAAAATCTAGATTCAAATTAGGGGAAAGATATATACATATTTACAGTTTCAAAAATAAAACTTTTGTAAAAGATGTCATGCAATTGTCATAAAAAGACAACTAAATGGGAAGAATATTTTCAAGTTATGTCCCAGACACAGGAAAGGGTTAATAGCCTCCATATACAGTAAAACCTGTGAAAGCTAGAACCTATGTAAAGCAGAAACCTATCAGAGAAGGGAAGCTCAAATTATTTTCCACTAATACAGAGCAACAGAAAACTGTTAAGCCTGCACCTGGTCAAAGGCAGAGAATTTGCAAGACCCGGGAAAACAAAGCAAGTCCTGTTGCCTTCTGGATCTCACAGGTTTCACTACATAAAAACAGAGGAAAAAAATACCAATAAAAATTCTTTAGAAAAATGACCTGATAGTTCATACACACACACAAAAAAAGGAATGGCAAGTGACTGTTCACTATATGAAAATAACTCCCACTCATAGTAAGAAGAGTGTAAATCAGTACTATACTAATATCTTTGGTAAGAAATAGGGTCACCATCAGTTGGAATCGACTCCATGGCAACAAGTTTGTTTGTTTTTCTTACCCTGCTCACCCTGTGCAAATTATATGTCACGAAACTCAGAGATTATTAATAGGTGATCCTTGGAAGAAAGGCTTCTGATATAAAATTAATTCCAGAAACACTGAAGAAAAAATGGGCTCAGGTATAGCAAGGATTGTGAGGCTGGGACAGGACTGAGCAGTGTTTTCTTCTGTTGTACACAGGGTTGCTATGAATCAGGGCTGACTCAACAGCACCTAAAGACAACAACAATATAATTTCTCATTTATTATGAGGCTGAAACTCAGAAGTTTGACAGGATATTCATTGCCTATGCTATATGAAAACATGTTCTCTTGCATTGCTAGAGAAAATAAAAAGGGTGCAACTTCCTACAGAGCTTTCCTTTATGCAAAATTCCCTTTCCTCCAGACTCTAGGAATCAGAACGAAAAAGGTATGGGGCAGATATCTCAGAGGGAACAAAATGGAAAATATCTAAAATGGTCTTAAACTTACTGTGAAACCAAGCCTCTCTTTATATAAGTGTTTATTCTTTTTGATTCCACATTTCCAAAATCCTGTTCTCCCATAAAATCTTAGTTTGTAGTTAATTAACAATTTAACATTATATAGTAGAGAGCTGGCTGTCAAAAAGGACAAAACCGTTTTGATTACTTTTCATTGAGGGTACATCTTCGGTCTGTGGGATGACCATTGTATGATTTTAGACTCTCAGTGAGCTCCGTGTATAATCTGTCAGCCATGGGGAGAGGAATGCCATCCCACACCATGATGAGCACCACCATCACAGCTGTTGGACAGTGGTGGCCTGTACGCTGCCGGACCAGACAAAGAACTTTTTCTTCATCACTGCTTCTTCTCAAAACCTGCAGAAACAGAATGTATTCATTTTTGGAACACAGGTAACCATAAGTTGAGTGCAAATGATACTCCTTTTAAAACTTTCTATAATTGTATTATTAGGAATTTTACAAAATTACTATTTTTCAAAGGGTCGAAGCCTCTAGGACTTTTCCTTTGTTTCATTTCTTGCCCTCACACAACTCAGAGTCTCCCAGATTGCACCACCAACAACAACACCAGACTAATCCGAACTCTGTGGGATATGGTTACTATTTGTAAAAGTAGCACAAAGCAGTTTGTGTTTTATTTCACTGCTGTTAAAAGTATTGCCCTAGACAATATATAGCCCATTAGAAGAGTCTAACTGCTTTGTTTTTCCACAAATGTCAGTAAAGGACAAACCTAGTTAATTAAAAAAATAAAAGAGAATCCCAACATTAATAAAGAGCCTGAGCACTGAAACTTAACATCTGGGGAAATTAAGAGTTTTTTTCTCCTGGATGACTGGTTTTACTGTATAGAATGATTAATAAATAAAGCAATGAATTGGCAATTTCTGTGACTTTTCTATGCTAGGCACAAGAATTTTTCATAAACATTTTATCTGTCAAAGTAAGGTGACTTGACAAATGCAAAAAGCAGCATTTAATTTTGAATACCAGTCCATTTTTCTTATACTACACATATCCTTGGGATACTGAGATGGAGTACAAGGGTTTAAAACATTGCCTAGTAGACCTAGTGCTTATAAGATAAAACATATATATATAAATGTTCTCCAAACATAAAAACATCCAACTCTGGTTTCAACTCCCTCTGAAAGTTTCCACCCTCCATTATCTCACAAATTTACAAAGCAGAGAAACTGAGTAATATATAAATCAGTACGTTGTAAAACTGCCCACCTAGATGACCAAAATGAAGGTAACAATAGCATAAATGACCATTTTCATTGCTATAATATTTTATAAACTCAAGATAAAACTTCTTAAGATATTAGTTACCCAATATCACTTTCTTCTGTCACTCCAGATGGTTAACAATCATTGCTACCAAGGCATTCTGTAAAGCATCCCTTGAGTAGAGTTGGCTTTAGGACCTTCCCCCTAAACACAATTATTTATATTAAAAAATTTCCCTATACTTATATGTCCTTTTACAGCCAAATAAGAACACATTTACTTTCAAATATCCTCAAATGCAAAATGATACATATTGTATAAAACAAAATTATACCAGATAGTTTTTCAGTTTCCAAAATTTATATTCATCCAATCTTTGTATAAGAAATGCTAACATCCCACTTACTGACTGTATTTGTGCTTTCTGTGGCCTTTCCAATTTTCCACCAGTGAACAATAGAAAGTTAAGAGTAGTGTTTAGAAGCTGAGTCTTTAAAATACAGATGTGCATTAAAGTATTGAGGAGCTCTGGTGGCGCAGTGCCTAAGGCATTTGATCACTAACCAGAAGGTTGGTGGTTAACCCACCAGCCACTATGCAGAAGAAAGATGGGGCAATCTATTTCCATAAAGATCTACCACCTTGGAAAACAGATGGGAATGGCTATGAGTTGGAATCAACATGATGGCAGTGAGTTTGTTTTATTGGTTTGATTAAAGTATTAAATCTGTTAAAGACTTCTATACTGAAAAGTGTAAAACATTATTGAAAGAAATTAAAGAAGGCCTAAATAAATGGGAGAAACACATTACGTTCATGGAATAGAACAGTCAATGTTGCAATGACGTCAATTTGCCTTACATTGATCTCTAGATTCAATGTAATCCCAATCTAAATCCTACCAGTGTTTAAACTTTTTTCTTTGGAAATCGGCAAACTGTTTTCCAAATTTATATGGAAATGCAAACACCAAAAAGAGGCACACACACACACATATACACACAAAAAAAAAAATAGTAGAGAAAGTGATTTTCCATATATATAAAGATCTACTATAAAGCTATAGTGATGAAGGCAGTCTGGTGTTCCAAACATACAAAGAACGATTCATAATAGCATGCTACTTCACAATGAGAATAAATGATCGACAATTTCACACAACATGGTTGAATCTCACAATTATAATGTGAAGTGAAAGAAGAGAGATGCAAAAGAATACAGTATATATTGAGACTGTGTTTATATAAAGTTCAAAACAGAAAACTAATCAATCAGTAATGTTAGATGACAGAAGAGTGGTTACAGTTGGAAGCGGGGAAAGCAGTGACTGGGAGGGGGCAAGAAGTGTTTATGGAGTGCTAGTAATTTTGGATGTGAATTCTAAGAGTGTGTTCATTTTATAAATTCACCAGTCTTAGGATCACTGCAGTTCTTTGCACATTAATATAGGTAAATAAAAAAATCACCTTGACCTAAATTAAAAACAAAATACCAGGAACTGCTTAGTCAACAACTCACTCAGGATATTTTGGCAAGTTTCTTAACCATTCTATAGCAACACAGAATAAGGATCTAATAAATGTTAGTAAGTATTTTATGTCTATTTGCTTTACCATTTGGCTCCTGAGCACAGAACTCAGTTCATAGAAGATCAACAATTTCTTGAATAAATGAAAACCACAGAAACCCAATATGGTTGCATTTTATGAAAATTTCAAATACTACAACTTAAACTATTAATAAGATGTAAGCTCTTGTTTCATGCACAGATTCAAAAAGATCTGAATATTAGAAACTGAAATATCTTGTAAAGAAACACGTTATTTTGTAATTGGCAGGATGAATTCATTTGTAAATTGCTGAAGTGCGGGCTACATTTCAGGGTCACAGTAGAAGGTATAGGGTACATCTAACATTTTGTGAGTAATGTTAGTGATAACCATGCTTTAGTCATTTTTTAAAAATAATTTATATATTAAGAAATTGTTATATTCTATGAAATATCATATAAGAATTCATGAAGTAGAAATTGAAATACTTGTAATAAAAAAATACCACCAAATAAATAATGTTGGATTGGAAAACATTTAGTAAAGGGCCAACATATACACTCTACTGTCTTTTATTTTTATCAGATTTATCAAGGTATAATTTATATACCATAAAATTCACTCCTTTAAACTATACATTTCAATGGTTTTTAGTATATCCTGAGAGTTGTAAAACAAACCATAACCACCACATTATTTCAGAACACTTTCATCCTTTAAAAAGAAAAAAAGGTCGAACCAAAAATAACTCATCAGCACTCAGTACTCACCTTATACTCTCTTGACCCCTGGAAATCACTAATATATTTCCTGTTTCTCTCTCTTTACTCATTCGGGATACTTCATAAAAATGGATTAATATATGTTAGCCACTTGTGATTGGCTTTGTAGCATCCACTGAATATGTTTTCAAAGTTCATTGATATCATTTTTTTTTTACAGCCAAATATTCCACTGTATTGAGATATCACATTTTATTTATCTATTCATAAATTGAAAGATATTTGGTTGCTTCCATTTTTTGACTATTATGAATAACACTGTGATGAACAGTAATTTATCAGACACTGTTTCACTGCTATTTGTAAGGTTTTCACTGGTAAATTCTTTGAGAAGTTGATGTCCCCTTCCTTCTTCCCAGTCTGTCTTAGTCTGGAAGCTCTGATGAAACCTGTCCACCATGGGTGACCCTGTTGGTATTTGGAATACCGGTGGAATAGCCTCCAGCCTCACAAGAACATGCAAGTCACCAGAGTACGACAAACAGATGAGTGATGAACATGTATGCACAAGTTTTGTATGGATTTACTTTTTTTAAAATAACTGCTTTTTTGAGATATAATTCACCTATTTAAAGCACACAATGTGATGGTTTTTAGAATCTTAAGAGCTATGCAGCTATCACCACAATCAATTTTAGAACATTTTCATCACTTGCAAAAAGCCCAGTACCTATTAGGAGTGACTATACCCACCAGCCACTCCTCAGAAGGAAGATGGGACAATCTACTTCCATAGTGATACTGCCTCAGAAACCCAAGGAGGGGTCACTATGAGTCGGGTCTGACTTGATGGTACATAACAACAACAACATCCCAACCACAATCCTAGGCAACCAGTTATCTACTTTTTGGCCCTATAGGTTTGCATATTTTCAGTATTTCATAGAATAACAACTATGTGGTCTTTTGTATCTGCTGTCTTTCACTTATAATGGTTTCGAGTTTTATCCATGTTATAAGAATGTATCAGTACTTAATTTCATTTTAATATGCTCAGTAATATTCCAAATTTTTCTTATCTATTTATCAGTTCATAAAAATTTGGCTTATTTCTATTATTTTGTGACTACTTATGAATAATGCTGCTATGACCATCTGTTTTCAAGTCAGAATCGATACCACAGCAACTGGTTACTATTGATAACTGTACTGTAGTAATGTAAGAGAATGCCCTGATCTTTACACACACACACACACACACACACTCTCTCTCTAATATTTAGGGGTAAAATAGCATCATGTCTTCAATTTACTGTCAAAGTGTTTAGAAAAAAAATAGGGAGTAGGGAAAAAGGAGAGAAAGAAAAAGCAAAGTAAATTGTGCTAAAAGTTGCACTTCAAAAATCTGGGTGAGAGTATCTAGGAGTTCTCTGTACTATCCCTGCAACTTTTCAACAAGGCTGAAATTAAAAATTTTCTCCAGTGGTTGCCAAATGTGGGGACATTGTGTATATTTCTCTCAACGTAAACGTGGGATTTGATACTCCTGGTAATAAAGTAAATGTGGGATTTGATACTCCTGGTAATAAACAAACTCCAGAAAAATGTCACTCGTCAGTACCTCAAGGGACAAGCTACAAGGCAAATGTCTAAGGAGAAAATACCAAAAACACCCTAAAAATAATGCTTCTCTGTTTTCAAGACAGTTCAAAGGGTCAACACCTCCCCAAAGCCATCACTGAGCTGCTACCTGAAACATCAGTTTTGGTTTCTACTTCGCTCACTATATGCCATTCTTAAGCAGGGAAGTGGTAGAATTTGATAGCAACTGGCACAATGGTTGTATCCT